TGATTCCAGGCTTCGTGTTCTACTTTGTGATCCCATCTGACTTTCTTCCTTTCCAATTTTCTCTCTTCCTGATCCATTTTCTCTTTTCTTGATCCTCTCCAAGCCAACAACCTGTTCTAACTGCCAAATTCCATCTCATCATCCCTATCTTCCTCTAACTGAGACTCCATTACGGTTCAGTCACACCCCAGTTTGTGCCAACCACCAACCAATTTACCAGTCAAACGTTTCTACCAGCTCTAGGGTTGCCAACTCCCTGAAAAAAAAGGGACACCTCATGTGCGTGCCAGCTGACCCAATTACCTTTACCTCTCCTGGCATGGTGATCTTTTTTAGCCCCCCTTTGTGTGTGAAATTATTTTTTTAAACTATTTGACTCAAATCTGCATTAAATTAGCTGCATACTTGTGAGTGACATGAACACATGCCGTATAAAATAAGCATTTTAAACTTAATCCTGTCCTGCTTAAGTTCATACTGTAAAAATGAATATAAAACAATAAATAAATAGTGCACATTTTTGGTGTAACAACAAACTTGTGCAAACTTGTAAAGATTTTTGTGCCTTAAATGCAATGACTGTAGGCTACAGTTGTAAAACAGAAAAAAAAAATCATAAGCTCTATTCCACATTATGTAGCGATAGCATATTTTTTCCACGTATTTCCTCTGAGCTCTTGCATCAGTAAGGAGTTTTTTGTTTTTGAGTGCTGCTGCTCTTTTGTCAGCCGCTATCTTCTCCGTGAGCAACACTTGGCTCGACCAATCGGATGAGGGCATTCTGAATCGTTACATATATGTTGTCAGCTCATTGGTCACAAAGCAGGACAGGGCCTGGGAAAACGTTTATCATAAGTTTTGTATCTCATTCTTAATTTTCCATTAGCTTTTTACTAACTACATTTTTACTCTCACAGTAATACGAGATAAAGTGCGTTCCTTTTCCAATAAATACGGGACTGGTACTTCTATTTCTAAATACGGAACGATTACGTTTTTCAAGGGATAGTTGGCAACCCTAACCAGCTCCCAACTACTCTAAGACCTCCGCCCTGCTGCGTCACTTCCAGGCTCAAAGCGTTCCCGCTGAGCATCTGCTGAGACACACCTTATTAAAATAAGTCAATGGAATTCATACATATTAAAACAATTTAGAGTGATTTAAATTGTTTGCTTTATATACTACTGAATAAATAAAACACTTTCTACAAGTTATTTAACCTTTATGATACTTTACATAATCTATAGAGTTGGTAGAAAGTATGTGAGTTTATTTGGTTTTATTGCTTCAATTTCTATTTGTAGTTCTGGCTCAAATATTGCTCTAATGGCACATGTTCATAATCTTGAAGCTTGTTTTTAAATATTGTCAATTTTCTAAGTCATGAAATCGACACCACTACTATGCTGTTCATCGTTGCCTTATCAATATGGCGGACAAGTTGACGTGTAGACGTGCAGAAACGCAGTGCTACGTCAGAAAAAAAAAGCGGGGGAAAATTCCTGCAGCATCTCTCGCGCTCAGGCGGAACGCTCGCGAGGAATCCTCCAGCTCTGCATTTTAACATCTTCTCGGGTTAGTGTCCTGATTTTTTCTTCCTACTTTTAATTGAACTAATTATCGAAGTTAAAATTTAGTTTTCAAAGATAACTTCGATTTTTATCGATGTGCTTTCGTTAGTTTATAACCGATATGGAAAGATTATTTGATGACAAACCGAAAAATAGTAAAAGTTTGTGATATTTTTAGCTAGCTCGCAGCTACTGAAAAGGGAACGTTTTGAACTTATAGAATTGATGAAATATGTCGTTAATCCTGGAGTTAGAAAATGTATTTAAGATAAAACTAACAAAAGGTACACCCTCCTCAAATAAAACGAGTAAAGTGATAATTAGTGGGAAAAATAGGCAGTAAGAGCTGCTAGTCATTAAATGTAACCAGAATTCAGGTTAAAATCCACAGATATCTGTTAGCCTGGGGATTTAGCCTTTTTAGCTCCGAGCTCAAATTAATATTTTTGGATCTGCTTTTAAAAACTGGCGATTTCACAGAACATAATGTAAATGTAATAAGCTATATTGTGTTTAACAATATTTCGCTAAACTAATTAAACTCCTGGACATTATTATTAATTATCTAAATATGGTTAGATGCTTGTGCTTTGATCATAAAAAGTTTATTTTCTGTTTTATTTAAAACTACATCTTATTTATCTGAGCTCTGATTTTCCTAAAGATCTGTAAAAATAATAATAATAATAAACTGGTCAAATCAATTGTTGTCAATTTCTAATCTTTTATTTTTTTTAACTTGCTGCTACTGGTTTTATCCGGTTCTGGTGATTAAAAAAAAAAAAAGTCTTGTCATTGTAGAGAATAAAATTAGATTTCTTTGGAGGGTTAAAGGAAACAAAATTAAATGAATAAATATATCATGAAATCAATAAATGTCTTATTAATTGTTCCATTAGATAATTTAATGTATTATTTCTCTAATACATCATTGAATAATACATAAAAAAGATAAATGCTAAAGCTTTAAATTTGCCATTAAACAATTAAATTCACAATTTAATCAATCATTGAATAAACCATTAAAATCTATTAATTCCACT